AGGGTGGTCTTGAACTTTTGACCTCATCTGATCTACTACCTTGGCATCCCCAAATGCTGGGATTACAGGCTTGAGCCACTGCGCCTGGCCCAGATAATTTCATTTATAGAATTTCTTTTTCTAATGTAGGGTACAGTTGAGGATCACGTATTGCATATACTTGTTATGTGGTTTTAGTTTCCTTTACTCTGGAATGGTTCCTTAAATTTTCTTTGTCATTCATCATATGGACTTTTTTTTTTTTTTTTTTTAAATAGAGGATGTCCTCTAGATATGGACATTCTTAAAGCAGATAGATGAGTTGATTTGTAGAATGTTCAGCAGTTTCGGCTTTTTCGTGTATGTTTTAAAGATTTTTCACTTAGTGTTTATTCGTGGCCATTCAGGCCATATAAGGAGTGTAAGTGCTATAAGAGACAGGATTTCTGCCTTGAGTCATTTCATACGATAAGGACACTGAGAAGTCCAATAACAGAGAAGTGCAAAAAAGGCAACAAAGTTGTGTGAGGGCAGTCTTCGGGAAGGAAGGGGATAATATTTGGAAAACCCTGTTTTCCTGTTTTCTGCCAACAGACTCCTGAAATAACATTCCTGGGATTGTTATGAACACATTTATTATGACACTAGCTAAAGCCTTTATTTAATAACATGGAGAGCATGAATATGATTTCCTTATTCATATTTCATGTTTTACTGCTTGAATTGATAATTTTGTTTTAATTTTTAAGGGCCGGAGCCTGAAGCTGATAGCCAGGAACAGGTTCACCCGAAGACTGGGTGTGAGCGTGGAGATGGTCCTGATGTCCAGGAGATGCGCCTGCCAAATCCAGAGCAGGTGAAACCACCAGAAGCAGGTAGGCAATTTATGAGGCATGCAAATTGTAGGGTGTCTGTTTCCACAGTATGATATTCTTATTCTTACTGTTTTTGAGATGGAGTCTCGCTCTGTTGCCCAGGTGGAGTGCAGTGGTTCCATCTTAGCTCACGGGAACTTCTGCCTCCCAAGTTGAAGTAATTGTCCTGCCTGAGTCTTCCGAGTAGCTGGGATTACAGGCGTTTGCCTCCCAGCCTAGCTAATTTTTGTACTTTTAGTCGAGACGGGCTTTCGTCATGTTGCACAGGCTGGTCCCGAACTCCTGACCTCAAGTGATCCACCTGCCTCGGCCTCCCAAAGTGCCAGGATTCAGGTGTGAGCCACCACACCGAACCGAGGATTACATTTTTAATACCAGAGAGGTAACAGTACTGCCTCCTTAATAATAGAGGTCTTCTAACATGATAGTTATTTGCAACGTAGTTCAGCGCCCAACCTATAGACTGTCAGATACAGAAACACACTGAGTCAAAGTCATCTTGAATGAAAACTTTTGAGCATAAATCCTTAAACCAATGGCTCACAATTTTGAGATGCTTTTGTAAAGGTGTGTTTGTAACAAATACATAAGACATTTGTAACATGCATCAGTTGGTGTGAAATATTCTGAAGCCCTTGATGCAGGTTCCAGTACCAGCTCTCTTAACAGCATTTGTGAGATTCTCAGCGGATCTAACTTCTCAACCTATCTTTGGTTACTGTAAAAACAGCGAGTTTAAGTCAGATATATTAAAATCATTTTTGATTCTGGCTCTTTCATACCGTGATCCTGATGGATAGAATGCATAGGATACAAAGATCTTCTGTTTGTATGATTTGTTTATCATATATCGTGAAACCCTGGCCTGTGCCATCTGAAAACCTGTGAGTTCAGATTTCATTGCCGCTAAGAAAGTGAGTGGGCACTCTGCTTCATGTTTGTTTTTCTGCGTGGAGACCTGAATGCGTATGGTTAGATACTGTCAAATTCTGAATTCTCTGGCTTCTTCTGTTTGTTTGAGCCAGAGTCTCATTCTGTCACCCAGGCTGGAGTGCAGTGGTGGGATTTCAGCTAACTGTAATCTCTGCCTTCCACACTCAAGCGATCCTCCCATCTCAGCTTCTTGAGTGGCTGGAACTACATGCACAAGCCACTGTGCCTAATTTTTTTTTAAATTTACTATAGAGATAAGGTCTCACTATGTTGCTCAGCCTGGGATTGTCTGGCTCTTAATGAATAATTAGTTTTTAAATCTTTTCCCAAAGAAACCTTGTGTCACTGAGTTATCAAATGGCTTGAGACTGTTTAGTTTCTATCATCTGTGGCATGTTGATCAGTGATGCTCAGCATCGGCGTGAGTAAGATGCCAATGTTAAGCATCCTCCCTGCCCCACTGTCAGTCTTCATGAACCACTATTTCTGATAAGACTGTAGACACATAGATGATGTAATCACCTCTACCCGTATCAAATGTTATATGTAAGTGTCAACTTCAGAGACATGAGTTGATAAAATCTGAAGTTCAAATACCGTGACTTTAATACTTCCTGAGTAATCATCAGAAGTATGGTTTACATATGTGTTTTCCAGATTGCTGACCGTTAATTATAAGTGCTTCTGAATTTAAAGGAAGCTCTTGATGTTTAGGGAGGAAATTACCCTTATGTTCTGCAGGTCTACCCTCAAAGTGTGTACAGAGGTTTAATTGGATGTAAGACACAGGATCACCCTTAGGGTTCTGTTTGTAGTCCATTTTAGAAAACCCAAAGTGTAATGTGCTATGTATGCCTTTAGGGTCACCTAAATAATGGGTTGCTAAGTCATGTTCCCAACTGTTGTGTTTCTGTTACAGCTGAAAAGCAATCACGTCTTTGAAAGAAGACACAGTGAAATGATGCAGGCTGCTTTCATTTTGGAAGGTTGCTCCTGAATGTTCTCTCAATAAAGCCATACAGCCCTTTGCAATGAAGTCTTGCACATCTTGTGTAACCTTTATTTCTAGGTATTTGATGCTGTCACATATCTTATCATTCTTTGGAATTTTATATTCTAACTGTTTGTGCTGGTGTGTAGAGACGTAATACTTACATGTGGAGTTTTCTGTCCAGCAACCTGTTAAATATGCCTATGAATTCTAAAAGTTTACTTCTAGATCCTTTACAGTCTTCAACATACAGAGCCATATCATCTTTGAATAAGAGTAGTTGTGTTTTTTTTTTTCTTATTTCCTTTTGTATTTTTTTAGAGACTGGTTCTGATATGTTTCCCAGGTCGGATTTTGAACTCCTGAGTGGAAGTGATGTACCCGCTTTGGCCTCCCACAGTGCTGGGATTGCAGGCATGGGGCACCGCACTGGGTCTGTTGCTGCCATTTTGAACAGTTTTATTTCCTCCTCTGATTTCATGGCATTGGGCAGACCCACCTGGTGCAGTGGTGACAGTGGACATCCTAGTCTTATCCGTGATGAGAAATGGATATATTTAAACACTTCACCATCATATTTACTGTAGTATTTTTGTAGATGGACTTTATCAGAGTAAGTTACTCCATTCTGTTCTAATTTTCTGAGAGTATTCATTTTGAATATATGTTGAGTTTCATCAAACAGTGCATCTGTTTCGACTATCACAGCATTTTTTCCCATTAATCTGTTACTGTAGTGCATTAGGTTGATACATTGGTACTTTTTTATTTCCTATTTTTAAAAAATGAGACAGGATCTCACTGTGTCACCCAGGCTGGAGTGCAGTGGTGTTATCCGAGCTCACTGCAGCCTTGACCTTCCGGGCTCAAGCAGTAATCGCACCTCAGGCTCCTGAGTAGCTGTGACTATAGGTACATGCCACCGCGCCCAGCTTCTTTTTCTTTTTTGTTTGTTGATAGTGATGAGATTTTGTCACGTTGCTTAGGCTGGTCTCGAACTCCTGAGCTCAGGTGAGCTGCCCAGCTCAGCCTTCCAAAATAGTAGGATTACAGGCCTGAGCCTTGGCCTGGCAAGATTTTTCTTATCTCGGGGTTTTATTCACGTAAAGACGAACCTTAGACTGGACGCAGTGGCTCACCTTGTAATCCCAGGACTTTGAGAGGTCGAAGTGGGTGGATGACGAGGTCTGGAGTTCAAGACCACCTGGCCAAGATGGTGAAACCCCTTCTCTACGAAAAGTACAAAAATTTGGTGGGTGTGGTGGCACGGGCATGTAGTCTCACCTACTCGAGAGCCTGAGGCTGAAGAATCGCTTGAACCTGGGAGGCGGAAGTGGGAGTTAGCTGAGATCGCACCACTGCACTACAGCTTGGGTGACAGAGTGTGACTGCATCTAAAAAAGAAAACCAAAAAAACAGACCAACCTTATTTGTACCTTTGTGCGTGTGGGCTGACAGCATGATGAGATTCATCATTCTACTGATTAAAAGGAAACTATCCTTGACGTTCCAGTGTGTAAATATGTGAAAGCATAATTATTTTGAAAGCATACATTGCTATGGGTGTTGGGACCCCTGCACTTTCCGCTGCTGTGGGAGCATGTCCTTGTAGGTACCTTCAGTCTGTTTTCTCAACTACAAACATGTTAGGGCCATGGGTTGTGACTGGTAAGGAATGTGTCTTGCTAGTTTCAAGATGGAGTTGATTTTCAAATGGTGTCACTCTGGCTGTCCTTAGCTCCTGTTTCACGGGTACTGTCACTTCTCCTTCTGCCATTCTGATGCTACAAATGATAGATGTTTGAGTATTTTCCTACAGGTCCTTGAGGTTGTATTCATTTTTCTTTCAGTCTCTTTCTGTGACTTGTTCATGTTGAATAATTTCTTTTTGGGGTAGGTCGTTATTTCTGTTTTAGCAGGTGGTCTACCTGTCTTTCCAGGCAGTCACCATAGTCCTTGTCCCCATGGTGAGGCCAGAGCAAGGGAGGGCCCTGGATGGGAGGGGGGTTCAGTTGAAGATGGAGTGAGTTTTGAGGGGAGCACTATTTGAGGTATTTGAGTCCCCGAGGCGTAGGGAACAGCAGAGGGAGGTCGGATTCCATTATCCTCAGCGGGAATGGGAATTGAGAGTTTGGGGTGTGGGGCTTGTAACGGCAGCCCTCCCTGTCCCACCCACAGCTGCGCATGCTCCTTGGGCTCCCGTCTCAGTGCGCATGTTCACTGGCCGTCTTCCGGTTAGCGCGTTGCTCGCGTGAAGAACGCCAGGGAGCTGTGAGGTTGTGGTGTCGCGTTCCTGCCATCCGGATTCGTTTTCCTCTACGGACACTCATCTGGTAGGCTCGAAAGCAGTCCCCCCAGGCGCTGAAGTGTGAGTGAGGGTGAGGAGGAGGCAGTGAGCTTCGTGGGGGGTCCGGCGGGTCCTGCTGCGTGGTCTGTGGTCTCTGAGAGAGAAGGGCCTCGTGACCCTTGAGAGACAAGGGCCTCCTTACCTCGAAAGAGCAGGGCCTCGAGGTCATCCTCGTCTTTACAGGCTGCGAGGCCACCATCAGCTTCGTGGTCGTGAAGGGGCCAGGACAGGGAGGAAGGTGGGCCGCAGAAGGGAGGTGGTCTGGGGCTCAGGTGAAGCTGGGGTGAGTGCTTGGGGTGATGTTGGAGGAATGTAAGTCCTGAGGTGCCGGAATCCCCCATACAGGGCAGATTCCTGAGTCCTGAATGGGGCCCCGTGGGTGGGGGCGAGGGGATGGGGGCAAGGTGGAAAGTGAAGAACGGGCCTGGCATCTGGGAAGGCTGCGGGCTGCTTCACGCCCCCTAGCATTGTAGGGAGCAGAGCGCCCGAGTGAGAAGCCACGCCAGGTCTCACCTCCACCATGGAGGGTCCGGAAACAATGGGAAGGACTGGGCGAGGCTGTGCCGTCCAAGCAAACTTGATTTGAGGGGGGTGACCGGCTCTAGTAAGTGGGAGTGTGTCACAAGCAGTAGTCACGGGAATTGTGATTCACTAGTGTTTTCATGTGGAGTTCACTTGTGAAACTAAACCTCATCTGAGGAGGGCGGTTCCCTTAAGCAGGGAGGTCAAGGCTTCAGCGATCTGTGATGGCGCTGCTGCACTCCAGCCTGAGCAACAGAGCCAGACCGCGCATCCAAAAGAAATTTAGAAAAACATGTCTGCTGCCTTTTGCCACATGCCTTAAGATGATTGTTCTGCTAGCATGGCCAGCATAAGTGGCTTTGCAGGCACTCAGGAAAGGTACACACGTATGCTTAACTGTGGGACTTACTGTGAGAGTGTTTTCAAAAATAAAATGACAAGTTAGCATTTAGCCATGGAAGTGATCGAATATAGCTGTCCTCTCAAGTGCATGTTCCCAATCACGGCTGTTTTTTTGTTTTGTTATTTTCAGCGAGAAATATGAGTTGGCGAGGAAGATCAACCTATCGGCCTAATCCAACACGCTGTGTAGAAACTCCTGCGACGATTGGGCATATGCTGGTGAGTGCTTTAATGTTAATTTGATATTTTCTATTAGCAGAAATTAATATTTGTGATAATGTCGTTGCATAGGTGTATAGTCACTGATAAAATTCTTTCATGCTGATAAAAATGATTATGGCGTCTTATGAAGGGAACATTGAATCAGGAGGATTTTGTTTCTCTCTGGTGTTCTTCAGCTTTTGCCCATGACTTCTTTCTCATGGTGGGCTTGTTAATGACAGATTGTACACATCGTGTAATAAATTCCAAAGTCCTTGTGGGTCACCATTCTCACAGTAACCTTCCTGTGGGTAGAGTAACCTTATTGAGCATATAGAGTTGGAGAAATGTCTAATTTTTGTTTTTTGTTTTTGTTTTTCTTTTTTTCTCCTTCCTGCTGTCTTGTGAAGAAGAAATGTCTTTAGGCTTAGTTATGATCAGAAATATCTATGTATTGTGTGTGTGTGTGTGTGT